GATTCATCCCTTGATGGCAGAAACTCCTTTATGTGGAGAACTTGACTCTGCATCCTTTTAGATACATAAACTGCTCTTTATTTTTACTGTTGCTATATTAAGTCTCTTCTGAAAATGTCAGTAGGCTTCACAAAACATGAGATCTCACAGCAGGTCTGTGGCAGTACTAAGTGCCACAGGTTTCATAATATAGCTGAGAAGATTGTGGAAAGGACAAACCTGTAAGACCTACAAAGACTCACACAGAAAAATATTGCTGTATTTCATCAGTAAATAGATGTGGGCTGGATTAAGGACTCTAGTCCAGAGACTTGTCTTTCCTCTGAAGCATGCTTCAAGCTGTTGATAGTTTTTTGGGAGACAAATAGGTTAAAAATAAGGGAAAAGCTCCACTGAAAATTACTGCTTGACTTCACCATGCAGCATGAACAGTTATATCTTTTATTTTAAAAAACTGCTCTTGTGTCTTATATTTATAAAACAATTTGATCCATATAATTTATTAAAGAGCAGTCCCTCTGTGATAAACTGGATTGGGTCTGTTTTGTGATGAGCCATTTCTTAATGACAAAAAGTGAACAGCTCCAAATTTATGATACTGGTACCTTTATGTAACCATTTTGGAGGCTTAAAAATGACAAGGTCAGTATGGCAGTTCTGCAAGGCTACTGCTTTTGATTGATTCTCTGAAAAGTTTCTCATGGCGTGGTTGTAAGCTGTACCATAAGCTATTTTTCAAAAAAAAAAAGTTTTTCTTAGTTGCTGGGAAAAATGTCTTGTGAATCTGAAAGCTGAAGACCTTAAGTTCAGCTTAATATTTATAGGACTGGTTGCACACAGGCAGCAGTGGCATAGATCTCCCCAAGCCCTGTCATTTTTGCATGTCACAAAAGGTCTTGGTGCATTGTTAAAAGGAGAAAGGGCAAATTTGTTTGTGACCCATCTCTGGAAGGGAGCAGAGATGTGTCATTTAGCAGAGTGCTGTTGATGTGTGTGGCTGTGCCCAAACTGAACTGAAGACCATCTACAGCTCACCGTCAGGTTGGGATTTAACTGAGAAACACATTGGTTTCTCTCTGAACTTTTCTCCATGCAATTCATCAGAAAATCATGTGGAAATACATTATTCCAGGAATATGTTTGCCTAAAGATGCACTAACTATACAGCAAATAAAAAGACTGTGTGTATATTTACAGGTTTTAATGTGGCTTGGGGCTGAAATGATCAGATCTAAGTTTTTAAAAGTGGTTAGTGGGCATTTTCAGAAATGTTAGGTAGCTGTGCTTCTGACCAACTTTGGTAGCAGCTGCTGTATCCTCTTTGTGGATCAGGGTGTTCTGGCCTCGTCTGACTTACGGAGAGAGGGGAGGTGATGTATATCATGCTGGCAAAGCTGGGGCTGAACTCCTGTGCTATTTGCTAATGTAACAGGAGGTGAATGCCAAGAGCTGCATTAAAGAGGTTACATTGCCATGCTTAGGGTGCTGGCCTGTGTTCCCCAGCCAAGCTATTGCTTGGGAACCCTGCCTGCTTCGTGGGATACGTATTAATAGTCAGCTTGTGACCACAGAGAAAAACTGAGCAGAGCAAATCTTGAAGGTTCCAAAATCAAGGCAAGCGTTGTGAAGTCTGCATCTTTATTTTTGTAGATATTCCTTTCTTGGCAAAAAAACAGTTCTTGAGCTTAACAACACTACAAAAGTGTCAGACTGAGGGAGGAGACTTCACTGAGGTTACTGTAGCTCTGCACTGGTCACTGCTGACTCAGCTGTAGTAGTGTAACCTTAGCTTGAGAGAGGAGTGGGACAACACAAAGGGACAACAGTTTAAGGAGGTGAAAAATTGAAAGACTTAATGAGAAATACAAAAGACAAAACCACGGAGAGAAAATAAAACTAAGACATGATAAATTTACAAAGAAGAAAGAGTTTTAAGTCAAGTCCTGTCAACCTCTTTACAATATTGAAGAATGATAATGGCTCTTGTAGCAATGAAGAGTAAAATTTAAAACTGTGCCTAGAATATATTTTAGTGCAATTCATCAATTACTGCAAAATGCCATTGAGGACAAGGACAAAACAGCATTGGGGATGTCTCCTAAAGGCACAGTAGAAGTTACTTAGACAACAGACTTCTGCTCCCAATAAACCAAATCTTTTCACTGCAGTGGTCAGCCAGGAAAAAAAAACACCTCCATTTTCAATTTCACACTATAATGGTTTTGATTTTTCACATTATAATGTTTTTATTTTTTTTTTTTTTCAGCATGCACTTGGTTGGTTTTTGTCTGCCAAGAAGGTTGTGCAGTTCACTGCTATGTCAAGGAAAACACACATAGAATACTGCCCTTAAATAATGTAAAGAAGACTTCTTTGAAACAGAGATACGTTTTCCAGTGAGAAGTTATGCAAATTGAAACAGAGTAAATACTGCCCATGACAGTAGCTTGTGCCTAGCTGCACTGCAATCTACCTTTTGTCCTTTTTAAAAAAAATAGGTAATATTGTTCCATTTATCTTTCTCTATGTAGCTGTTTTAACAGTTCAGTACACTTGAGCACACTGGTGTAATTTTCCTCTGTAGGTGGCTTTTTCTGCTGCAACCATTGGCAGTTCATGTGCTTTGGGTGCAAGATGGGCTTTCATCTAATGCCCAGAACTAAGTAATTGGATTTCCTTGTGTGGATCAACTAAAGCTACTGTGTCTGCCAGTCATTCCTCTGCTTGAAGGGGTTAAGTGATGTGAATCAATAACTGTACAATATTGAACATTTCTGGATTATTCATATAACAAAATACAAAAGCTCTAAGAACCTTTGTATCTCATGAAAATCTAGGTTTTGTTAGAAAATGAATTCTTATACTGGGGACTGATGGAAAACTATGCCAGACAACAGCATTTTGGTGCCCAGTTGTTGCAATCTCAGCCAAAAGCCTCACCAGACTCAGTTTTATTAAGATCTAGATGTTAAATAATTCAGGAGTGCCACTTTGGGGAAGTGAAGAGTCTGAGAAAAATCTCTGCATCTGCTGTTCTGGTGAGAGGTGTCCCTTGCCCATGGCAGGGGACTTGGAACTTGATGATTCTTAAGATGCCTTCCAACCCAAACCATTCTGTGATTCCTCAGGTTTTGCCAGTGTCTGTAGAGCTGCTGATAGATTTTCAGCTAGTTGCACATGTTGATGTTGGCTCGTCATAGACATTTGTCATTCCTTGTTTCAGGCTTCCACTGGAGCCACAAGTAAGCATCTCTTTCCTGGGTGATACTGGCTCAGTGAGTGGTTAGGGAAATGTTGGCAGGAAGGTTGGACTTGATGATCTTGGAGGTCCCTTCCAACCTAAATGATTCTATGATTCTATACCTTATACAGCTTGTACTGAAATTCATGCTGTGGTTTTTAAGAGGCTTTTTACTTGTGCAACGATGGCAGCCACGTGTTGTCCCTGGCACACACAGGGAACTGGGTAGACTCTAGTCCTTTAATCATTCATGAACTGATCATCCTACAGCTTGGCACCATTATTTAGGGTTGCAGTACATGGTATTGTAGCTACACAGTATTTGATTCTGGTTTTTCATGTTCCCTTGGACTTTCCTTTGGCAAGGGGCCAGGAGATCTACCTTCAGAAATAATGATAAAGGCTGATTTTCTTTATGGGCTTCTAGATGCCTTTTTTGGCACCAAGCCTTGAGGCCACAGGGAGCAATGCTTCCTTGCCCATGATCTCTCCAGGCTGTGTGTAAATCATGGAATGCAAACTGCTCCACATGTGGCTTCCAGGAGGGACTGTTGCCTAAACTTAGATGCTTTAAGCTCAGTTAAGACATCACAACACCTTCCCCAATATTTTCCTTTTAACCTCAGCTTCAGTTGAAGAACATGGTTTAGTTCATACCCTTTAGTTATGTGGTTTCCTTTATTTTTACTTTAATCTTGTTTAATTTTGGCTTATTTTTAAGAGAGGGCATGCCAAAAATTTAAATTCTGTCTTAACTGGAATTAGTATGATCCACTGGGGATGAAAAAGAAACAGGCAGTCTTAGCTTTTGTCAGCACAGAAGTAGTTTTGCTGGTGTAGAAGTGTGGGTAAACCTGCTCCCTGAAAGCATAGCCTGTACTGGAGGAGTGCTTCAGGCAATAGGAGTTAAACTGGTTTCCCTACTGAATTAAAGTTTATTAAGAAGGGAAATAACAGGGGTGGTAATGTGGATTTATCTTTGTCAGGGTTTCACTAGCAGAGCTATGTTATTCTGAAGGGTTTGTTTAACTCTCTTAATTGACCTGATGTGGGTACTACTTTCAAGGGCTTACTAGAGTAAGTCCCTCCTAAATGTACCTGCACATACAATTATTTGGGAATAGGTTTAAGTCCAGGCCAATTTTAGTATAAGTTATCATATACATGCCATGAGTTAACTAGGAAAAAGGCAAAGAAAATCATAACAAGCCTTTGGAGCAGTTTTCCTCCATATAACTTAAGTAATTAAATTGCTATAAGGGACATGAGTAAAACCTCTGTAAGCCTCTGAGACCTCCTGGCCTGTCTCACGCACTGAGCTACTCCCAGGTTTTCTTTAAAGCTCTTCTTTAAGGAGTATTTCCATGTTTACCCAACTGTCTGATCTAGTCCAGTTAAAATTTTTTTTTTTGGCCATTAATCAGGTATTTCTGACAATTTGGCCTGTTTGAAGGGGATTGAAAGCCCAAAAAAAGAGTCTCTGTTTTTAAAGTCTGGGTACTCTTATAGTAACATTTTACCAGTCTGTGAGATCAATACTTCTGTGAGTAGGAAGGTTTAGGTGGCTTTACAGTACTGCTTTGAAGCCACAGTGAGGCACAGTGTGATCCAAGGGGTGAACATTGGTTCCTCCATCCTGTGCTGCATGTGAATATTCAAGTGGCTGATGGTTTGCATAAGTAACAACTTGCAAATATATCTAGTCCTACCTATTGACTCATTTTTGTCTTTTGCTCTTTCCACGCTGATGACATTTTAGATGGGGCAACAAGGGAAGGCCTTTCACCAATGGTTTCTGCAAGGTCTGTGGGGCAGTGCTGCAGTTCAAGTCTCAAAGAGCATCACACTATAAGGTAGGCTGGAAAGGAGAACTTCCCCCAGCAAGCACTGGGGCTTTGGTTTGTTTGGGGTTTCTACACAGAGTTATAAAAGACCTCATAGCGTGTTTCTCAAGGCTTAGACACTAACCAGACTGGAATGTTGTGAAAGTTGTGGGTTCAGTGATAGTGAAGGACAATCCCATGCATATTGCAGCATCATTTTAGAAGGAACTGAGAAGGTTAAGGCCCATATGGGATTGGAGAAGATAAGCACAGCATGAGCCAGAATGTATGTATGGCATAGAGCAGTGCTACCTGCAGAGGATGAAGGTCTCTCCTGCTGACCACTTGCCCAATATAGAACAATATTATCATTAACAGGCAGACCAGCAACCAAACTCCATCTCTGCTGCCACCTCACACACCAGAGACCCAAAGTGCCAGACAACCAGAGGGAGGAACAACCAGAGACCCAAAGTGCCAGAGAGCCAGAGGGAGGAACAAGCCAATGCATTCACCCACCACAGTGGACATGAAGAAGGGAGCAAGCCAGGGAAGGAGCCAAGCCATGGGCAATGGTAGCAGCCGGGCCATGAGCCCAGTTAGAGAGCAGGGACTCAGAGACAGCTCCAGGGTCTAGCTCTTGTCATCCTGGGGGCTCCACTTGCCATGAAGAGTCAGGGAGTCTTTCCAATAGCCAGAATCCCCCACATAACACACCCACTGTACAGAGAAACCTCCCAAGCCCACTGCAACCAGCGTCAGCTCTTACACAGATGACTTCTTGCCCCACCTCCAGGTTAATGTGGAAGGTGGGGGCACCTGGTGGTGATCTCCTCATCAGTTCCCACCAAGGCTGGCCAGACCCTGGGTGAAAACCAACCAGGAGGGTCTTTCTTGCCTGGTTGTGGACACCATCCATATGCCAACCCTCGTTCAGGGCTGTGGGTTTATCCCCAGCTCTTCAAGATCACATCTCCTGATGCTTCACCCAGCATTACGCACGTCCTGCTCTGTGCACTGGAGTCTTCTTGAGGCAAGTTGGGTGAAGCCGGCTGAAGGCATTTCCTGGAACATCTGTGTGCCTTGGGGTATGGCTGTAGGCATGGGCAAGTGTGCTTTATTCTGAAACTTGATCTTGAGCACGTGCAGGTCTGCAGGCACAGGAGTTTCTGTCTTCTTGAAAAAGTTAAAGTTTAAAAAGTCATTTGCTGTCAGAAGTCTTTCTTGCTACTCACATTATTAAGACTCAAGACTTGCAAGGTGTGTATTCACTTACTTCAATTTAACTTACACAGCAGTTGTGCTTTCAGAACTTCAGAGTTCTCACCCTCAGTTTGATGCTCTTTTTCTTGGCTCCAAATCCAGCTGAGGACAAGAGATGCAACAGCAAAGTTACCTGACTTCACCATTACAAATCAAATTAGTTATTTGGTGAGGCATTGGAACAGGCTGCCCAGGGAGCAGGTGGAGTCATCATCTCTGGAGGTGTTCAAAAAACGTGTGGACATGATACTTCAGCACATGGTTTAGTGGTCATGGTAGTGCTGGGTTGATGATTGGACTTGATGATCTTAGAGGTCTTTTCCAACCTTAATGATTCTATGATGGAAATGACTTTTTTTCTCAGTTGTATTATCTAGGCAGGTATGACAAGACCCCTTTCTCTTTGATAATATTGCTATAATATCCTGCACTGTTCCTCAGAATCCTTAAAAGACATCTGAAAAATACCAGATTGGAGAAGGCAAATTGCTTCTTTTGCTTTGTAGGTTACCACTATATATGGTGGTGTGAGGAAGTGCATTACAAGTGCAAGAATTTGAAGCTTAGGGGTTGAGAGAGCATCTACAAATTAAAAATATTTGCTTCTGAGGGCAGCATATATTAACACTCAGTTTTAGTCACCTGGACTAATCTATCCTCAGTAAAAAGGTGCAGAAATCTCCACAGACTGACTCCAAGCTGGAGATACTTCAACTCCCAGGGAAACCTGTTTCTCTCCACTGACCATATGGGAAGATCAGACTTTTTATTTAGAAAGGTAAGTGGAATAATGCTGCCTAACGTTCACCAGACAGCCTTGATGTCAAGCCCCTGGGCTTAGTGGTGAAGGAGCTCAGCAGACTTGCTCTGTGGCATGGCTAAATTCCTTTCCTCACCTATTTGACCATTTCCCTGTTTGTAAGGGGGCATGTCAGGATTTTTAATTCCCCACAGAGTTGAGAGTAGATGACTCCAAGGGCTGCTTGAGGGAAAATGTTATTATTGTCAATATTATTGATTAAAGTATTGTTACCTGAGCTGGCATTTGCCTGCTTGTGGCTCTGCTTAATAGAAATACAATTTGCAAGTGTCTGAAAGCAGTTTTGATGAATGTCACTGGATATGTCATTGCCTGCACCCTTGTTACTGAAATAGGAATAATTCTAGTCTCTTCTCAGGGCAAAAACAAACGATAAGACAGTTTGTCTGTACATCCAAATGCATGGTAAGAAAGATGAGAGGCAGGAGCATGGCCACAGAAGAAAACATGTTGTATCAATTTTCAGATGATTGTTCCCCTTCATCACTAAATGAAATGCTTCCTTTTATATTTCAGTGAACACTTGTAACTGAGCTTGCCCTTGTCTGGTTTCAGATAGACAGGAATGGAATATTGGAGAATTCCAGATACTGCAGTCTCTGCTGTGTGTGTTTTACTTCCCCAGTTGTTGTTTTATCTCACTACTTGGGAAGGATCCATGCTGAGAAGCTGAAGCAATTATCAGGAGACTGAGCCCACGTGGCAGCACCATGCATGCAGCCTGTTGCTGGTAAGGGCTGAATCACCCCCTGCAGGGTCCATCTCCCTTCTTGGACTGTGTCAGGGACTTAGAGTGACCAACCATGAAACAAAGCTGATTTTTAGGTATCTAGTAGTAGAGTTTCTGAATATTCCAGGGTTGTGTTCCTCATCAGTCTGTACATTCGTATCTTTGCAAGGGTTAAGATATTTTACAGTCTCTTCCATCACCCTGAAGATTGTTCTTTCTTTCCCTGTTGTTCTGCAGCCACCTCCATGGAATTGTTTTAGCCTTTACTTTGTTCTGCTGTCAGCAGATTTATCCTCTCCTTCCTTGTCTCTAGCTTTCCAGAAGTCATCAGCTGAGAAGCCCTTGCTGTCTTCAACAGCTGAAGAGTCTTCATCCTCCAACACAAGGTTGAAGCTAAATGATTCATACAACTACTGCAAGCTTTGCTGTAGTAATCTTCAATAATCCACTTGTGGCCCAGGAGCATTACCGTGGTAAGAAAGACAGAAGAAATGAAGCAAGGAAAAAGATATTGGAGAAGCTAGGAGACAAATCTGTCCCTGCAGAATCCAGCACAAATGGTAAGCAGAATGTCAGAAAATGTTGCAGTCTCTGTCTCTGATGCCTGTAGATCACAAAATATTTCTTGTTGAATTGGGAGACCCAGTTCCAAATCCAGTCCTCACCAATTTCTGCAGTCAAAGTCAAAGGATCATAGAAAATAGCCCTAAACCCAAGGCCAGGGTCAGTTGTATCTGTGTCATTCTTTAGATGTTCATCCACCTTGTTGTTAAAAACCATCTGTGTTGGAAACTCCACAGCCTCCAGGAGGAACATCTCCCAGGAGTTCTTGATCTTTACTTTCTTGATCTTAAAACCTTTTACTGACACTGCACTCAGCTCCCTCTGACTGCATTGCATTTCTTCACTGTGCACAGAACAAGAAGCAGACACAAGAACTGAATAATTTGTTTCCGTTTTGTCGCATTCTTTAAATAATTGAAAGGTGGTGTCATATCTTGCTTTAATCTTTTATTCATGAAACTGGTTGTTGTAATTATTTCTGTCTTTCCACATAAGGAAATTTGTTTCCTAAGCAGTCATTGTTCTCCAGCTTCCCATCAGGACTGTCTCCAGCTCAAGCACTGTGTCCAAAGCCAAGGTACTGTTGCTGTCATTAATTTTGAGGGGGCATCATCTGGTGCAGTGCAACAGAACTCTTTTTCTAGTAAGGAAGTCAAACTCCTACCTGATGGTCAAAAGTCATGGTTAGTATAAAACAGCTCTCATTAAGTCACAGTATAATTTAAACAAAATTTGTTTGGATGCAAAGCAATAGCCCACTGGAATGAATGCTGCATTTTTGCTAATGGATGAAGCTCTTGGGTGTGCACGGGGAAAAAGGTTACTCACTGGTTTCAAAATACTTAGATCTATAGATGACACAGCTTGTAGGAGAGGAAAGTATGACAACCTAGAAAACACAAGGGTTTTCCTCATCTGACCTTACCTTCTATTTGCCTGAAGCTCTGTATACCATACTCACAATGTGTTGTACTGAGAAGTCCCTCAGCATCTCCACAGGGTTGAACCAACACTACATAAGCATTTGAACAGGTAATGTTTAAATGGATCTGATTTTAATTAAACCTGGACTGACTGGATTGTATCTGGTGGTGCTTGCTTTGGGTCAGGGGTTTACAATAGTATTTCATTTTTCAATACAATTCATGCTTATCATGACTTGACAACAATTTCCTGGAATTATTTTGGATCACTTTAGTGATCAGAAATGCTCTTTGTTAATGCTTAAACGATGGTTACACTGCAACTGTACACCTCACCAGGTCCCTTCATAAACATTACTCTAGTGTAAAATTGCAGCAGAGACTTTATACCTGTCTGTAAGTGTTGTTTATGGGAACATTAAGTCAGGACTTTTGTATGGGATGGGGTCATGGTGTGATTTGAGTTTGGCCTTTCACTTGTAGTGTCTCTAACTTAAAGGTTGCTTCTTTTCAGCAGTTGGGGTTGGTTATTATGTGTGCCTTCTGTGTAATGTCATAACTGCATCTATGGGAGTGTACCAGTCCCCTCTGCAAGGATATAAGCACTGGATTAAGCCAGCTGATAAGTCTTTTGTTACTATTCCTCTGTGGTTTGAACTTCCAGACTTTTTCATCAGCCCTGTTGTCTGCTGTTAAGTGACTTTGACTAGTTTGTGGGGGGGTTCATTTTAGTTTGTTTGTTTGTTTTTAATTTAGTTTCTTGGTTTGGTTTACTGGTTTAAAGGGGCACTGTCCATGTAAACATTATACTTGTGAAATTCAGTCTTGGAGTTCTTACAGCTCTCACAGACAACCTACATGGCAAAGCCCCTGAAACCTGTGCACTTTCCCCACTTACTCTGCTCTTTGGGGACAGCAGCACCTCCTTTGGTACAGCATCTTCAGTGCTCAGTGTAGAAGGAAATGGTCTGAACTTAACAATTCCTACTGCCAGGGAAAGAAGACCTTAATCCCCGAAAGTGCCCTGTCTCCATCAGTTGTGTTGCTTTTAGGATTCATCAACGTTCATCTCACGTTTGGCATTAAGATCGTTTATGGGAGAGGTGCTAGCTGTTGTACTTTCCCTGTTATCCAGAAGAGGGCTTGTCAGACTGTGTTGGCTGCAGAATGGGCACTGTGGTGGTTTCAGATGTACACTTAGAGATTGCTGTGCAAATAGGCTGAAGAGCAAAATTGCTTGCTCCTTAAGAATTTTGATAAGAAGTATTTTAGTTGAAGATGCAATAATAACATAACCACAAGAGACTGATGTAGAACAGGTAGGATTTTAAATGTTTGTTTAGACAATGGAATTAGAGTCCCCAAAAACAGGAGCACAGGGAACTGCTAGAGGCCTATCTACAGTTCAACAAAATTGATGTGTAGAGCTGGTGAATTAAGACAGAACAAGATATATTTAAGGGATGAGTCTTCACAGCTTCCCTTCCCACAAGGGATATCTTTGTCATCTAACCACTTTATCTTCCAGCCTGAGGAACAGGAGAATAGACTATAAACTGATAGGTAGTTTTGCCTTGAGAGCACATTTATCTTGTTTGGGATTTTTAGCAATCCAGGTTGATGGTTTCTGTTCTGTTTCTGCTGTGGAGTGAGACAGTTACAGCCTGAAGCTGTAACTACTGCAGCTGTTCAACAGAATGAATCTCATAAAGTAATTAGTAACTTTATTACATGACAGCCAGTATATATTTGCAGCTAAATGGATATCAATTAATAAGGGACAATCTTAAATTTTATTTTTAAAAAGTAGTTTTAAAAATGAATGCAGTCTCTTAAAAAACATCTTATTTATGATTTAAAAACAGAAACACCCTAGCTCACAAGAAACTAATTTGGTCTCCATGAAGTTATTTTTTATTTCCAATTTTCACAAAGAGTAAATTCTGTTCCCTGTAACTTCATCTTTGCAGATATGATCATGTCTAATAGGGTCCATGTAGTTATAGAGAACAACATACTTGGAATATGTTCTTTTGCTAGATTTGGAAATATGTATTTTTAATTTTTTTTTTTTTTTAACTCAAGAGATGTTAAGCAAATTTGTCAGTATTAATAACTAAGACTTTCTATCCAATTTATGCAGAGAGAGTGCTTGTTAGTCTCAGGAAGAAATCAAAGAACACATGTGGCTCCATTCAAGATGAATTAGCAGATAACAAAGTTCAGAGCACTAGAGATCTAGAGCCAAGAAGGTGTTTAGGAAAAGGAGAACAGGAAGAGTTTCAAGATAAAAACATTGAAGGAGGAAGTGGCCTTGGTGAGGTTATAGCTTCAAATTCTAAGTGTGAACAAGGCCAGTGTTTCAGCCTTTTCTCAGAAACCCAGTCACCAACAAATACTGGGGAAAATAGATTGCCAGACTGGCCATCAGCTTGAGAGCATGCACTAGAAAAGACACCTAACTGTCCCTATAACAAGAGATACTGTAAAGAAGAGCAAGCACCTGAGGTGGCCACCATCAGAGATAAGAGCTTCAGCCTGCCAGCTGCAGAATCTGAAGACTTCTACCAGTTTCTCCAGAAAAGAACAGAAATTTCAGATAAAACATTCTGAGGAGGAAAACTACACCAGTGAAGAGAAAGAAGCCACAAAGCAAAAAAGGAACAAAAATAGTGAAAGTGCAGATTTTGGAAAGGAAAATGAGAAGGAAAAGATAATTAAATTTGAGATAGACTTGGTAAGTGAGAAGAAATCAAGACCTTATAAAAACAAAAGACTTAAAGGAAACCCCACTGAGAAAAAGAGCAAAAAGGATAAAAAGAAGCCACAGACAGATGGCAAAAGAGAAGAGGAGCTACTTTGGGCTGAATCTGTCCAGAGATATTGATAAAGATTTTGCTTAGCTTTAAGAAGTTGATTCTGTTTGTAGACTCACTTGACCATTTTATACTATACTCTGACCTGTTTTGGGGGTGGTTTCTTTTAAGCGAAGTTTTTGTTCCAGTCTAGAAGCAAGAAAAACCCATCTTCTGAAATTTTTAGGCAGTAGGTTAGGCATCAACTTTTAATCATTTTCCACATGCAGCAGCCGTTGCAGTGATGGTAGTTTGAAAGTCTGTAATCTCTTCTGCAATATACCATAAATAAGGGTCATTAGCTTAGAGAATACTGTTGGAATGTCAAAAAAAAAAAAAAAAAAAAGTGTAGCTTATTCTAATGTTAATGTTTTCTACTGTTGAGGTTTCTATTATTCTTCTGGGAAAGTACATGAACACTACCGTGTTCCCAGACATGCCTGTAACCACTTCTGTGACAGATTTAAAAGGAGAATGTGAAAGACTTTTGATTTCAGGTCTTTTTTGCTGATGTTTTTGGTGGTGGTATTTTTTGGGGGGTTGGTTTGTTTGTTTGATATTTTTATCACACAGTTTTGGGTGGAAAATTAGTCTATTAAAAGTGCAAATCTTTGCTGAGTATGCATTGTCCTGCAGATTTTTCCCACTGTAATCCTCACTTTAACTGAGAAATCATAGAAAAGGTGTAATATGCAAATTTAATTGCTAACATGAAGCTCTCTTCTGCTTCATTCACTCGAAGTAATGTACAGAAGGAATGTTAGAATGAAGCCAGATTCGTGACCCAAAAAATACCCTGAAAAATCAGTAATGGCTTTGTATTTCCACTTTAAATGTCATGGCACCAGACTTTCACTCACAGTATGGATTTACATTATTGTGGCCTGGGCACTGATGTCTTGCATGCATGCAATTAATAGAGAAAGTCAAATGATGGGGTTCAAGCTCTTGTGTTGCTCCCAGCACTCTCAGATGAGACCTTCAGTAAGCTGTGGACACTGGAAACTCATCAGTCTCTACGGGGTCCAGGCCAGGCAGGGCTGCCCAAGAGAGCTTGGGAACGTGCGGAGGGTTCAAAGTCTGTGTGATGTCTTAGTGAAAGCTACTGGACAAAGTTAAGCCTTGAAAAGTGATGATTTAAAAGCAATTTCTTAAGATACCATTTATTCTCTCTCTTACTGCCTTCAGGTTGCAAGCAAGCTTGTTCTGAGCTGAGCTGTGGTCTCTGAAAGCCATCATGGTGTTGGTTTGTCCCGCTCAGGCTGTGCTTTCCACCTGTGCTGAGCTGCTGCTCTCAGCAAACCTGCCCAACTGAAACTCTCTGTTGTGGGTGGTTGTGGTGTGGAGTGGAGCAGAGACCAGGGCCCTCAAGCCTCCAACTCTGTCTGATATGGTTTTACTTTTAGTTTTGTGTTGTATAAGAGGTAGGTTGAAAAGGCCTGAAAATAAAATGGTCTGCTTTATTTTTTAAGGATTTTTGTGTTGTGCTTGATTGCAATCTTGGATTTAGGTTTTTTCCTGCTGCTGATATAAGTTATAAATCTGAGTAGTTAGCAACTGAGCCATCAAGTAACTTAGTCTATCTGCTAACAGATGAGCTTAACTAGTTACAACTAAAAGTTGAGCATGTAGGTGCCATGGTTCATCAGTCAGGAGTGTCAGGAATCTGAACTCGGAGGTCCATGAGGATTCAGCTTGAAGTTTGAAGTGTTCATAGGGTCCTAGTTGTGGACCTAATCTCCCCTGGTCTTTGTTTCAGGCTGGTAACACCTCTGCTTGCTCAGTGACTCTTTTTCCTCTCTCAGGACTCGGGTGATGGTGACATTTTGCCATCGGGGGGGAGTTGGGTTTGATACCGGCTTTGTGTCTATTTGTATATATTCAATTTTATTAGTAGGAGTAATAGTATTTTTGTTGAAGCTGTTTTACTTTTTCTTGTCTAATTGATGTCTCTCTCCCTTATTCCCATTCATTTCCCCTTTGGGGGGAGAAGGATTAACAGAGAGCATCTGTTACAGGTCTGGGGGCAGCCCTGACCCTAAACCATGACAGCTTAGCCCTTGTTCATCCGATGAGGGAATCTCAAATCACACATTCATAACTGCTTTTGTTCATTATTTACTTGGGCAGAGAGCGGGTTCAATCAAAATCTACTTATCCAAACTGTTGGTGACAGCTGTGAGCTGTTGTGAGCTGTCAGCTGAAGGCTGCTTGTGCTGTCCTGTGGTGTCACTGGGGAGGTTTTCAAGCCCTTCCTCCTCTATATGCTCTTTGCTGCGAGAATAACATGGGCAACACTGCAGCTTGTCTCCCATCTAAGACAAATAATGACTTTTTCTTCTCTCAGGACACCTAGTTTAGCAAACCAGGCATCGTAAAATCTCTCTGATATTTCTGCTACTCTGTCAAATAAGGCTGTACAAATACGGCCAGTGTCTTTTAAAATTATTAGTAGGGGACCCTTGCCCCATACGGTCACATACATCTCCTTTCCTTAGGAAGTCTACCTAAGAAAACAAGTAGACCTCAAGCAGGTGAAAAGGCCACAATGCAGTATTCTTGAACGCAAGGAACAGAGTAATTGAAGGGAAATTAGTGCCAGTTTATTTGCTTTTGAAATTAGAGTTGCGCTTTTGGAAGTCAGGAGAAGGAAATGAACAGTTCTGAAAATATGATAAAAGCATGAGCTGTCAGATCAAGGAGGTGTTTGGGGCTTTTTCAGTAATCATTCCCACAGCTGTACCTGAACTCCTCGCCCACCCACTGGAAAGTGGTTGCACAAACTACATAGAATAGCTCTCAACAAAATTTCTTGGTATCAAATGTGAAAGATAAGATCCTGAAAGAAGTGTTCTTGCCAGAGTTTGATTAAAATAATGATTCATCTAAGATGTAAATGATGCAAATGAGACATAGCAGATTCTCATCTAGCAGAAATGAATTATAGCTCTAATTTAGATAAGTGATATCAAATTTTCTAAGGTCATAAATAATTATTATTGTTCATGTGTTTCCTGATCACCTTGTTCCTAGCCTTTCACATTGGAGCCAGTAGTTATCTACACGCTAGACATCTTAAAATACTAGGTACAGAGATTGATGACTGTATTTGCCCTTTACTGTAAATATGTCTTTTTTCAGTTCTTAGTAACACAGGAATCTACACGGTAATGAGAGCTAATCCTGCTCATTTGTTCTCCCTATTAAAACTACCAAAGCATTGCAATTCTGATTTGAGAAACAAAGTAAGTCACAGATTTTTCTGTCCCATCTGAGCAGAAAGACTTGGATCTGCCTGTAGACACCTTGGAGTCAATGGTGGTTTATGCAGGTACATGGGTTCCTCTGTGAAGGTCCCACAGCACTAAATTTGATCTGTCTCCTCTTTCAGTAAACTTGTGTGCTGCTTGGTTTTATGGAAGAACTGCTGTATATCAAAAAGGCAAATTAAAACTGTGTACGTGTAGCAGAGCACAAACACAGGGTTAAAACTGAGCTGAAATGAAGACTCCTGCTTTTCAGTTTTGGCTAGGTCAAAAATTCACTAGGTCACCTGGATGAAGTACTTCATTCTTCTAGAGACAGTGCAGAAGGGGACTCTGGCAGATTGATCCTGCCCATGCTGTGCCCCTGAAGCAGACTGCTGACGCCAGTTTCTCCTCCTTTCTCCTGAAGGTCACCACCCCTGTGACATCCTTGTGCTCCTGCATCCTCTATTCTCATTCACAGGCAAACAGATCAGCTGACATTAGAGGGAGGCAAAGCCACTCTTCTGCTGGAGCAGGAATAACAAGAAATGCCTGAAAGCCTTGGAGCTGCTTCTTTAATGAACATGTAAGAGAGTCTGGATGCTCATCTCTGAAAGCAGCTGTCACATTCAGCTTCCTATGAAGAGTGGCATTAATGTGCTGTTCTACAAAATACCATTACTTTTTTATAGTTTGTTTTCCTTTTTATGACTTTTTATACTTTGGTTTCACAACTGCTGCAGTATACGAAAAATTTATAGTGAGGTCCTAGTGCAAGGTCTGCCTGAAAAAGGCTGCAGCTGAAAGAGGACATCTCTTCCCATGCCCTGTGAAGTGAGCAAAAAGCTGTTTTCATGGTGGTGTGTTCTCATTTGAAATCTTGCCATCAAGGGACAACCACTGAAGTCACCTTGCATGCCCTGAACTCAGGCTGTGGTTTCAGCGAGGCACACTGGGAACATGAACACCTGGCAAGTTAACCCTGCTGTTGGCCTATGAGACATGTCCTTGTCATATCTAACCTGCCAACTTGTCCAAGCATATTTTATAAAGATCGAGAGGCATTCCACCCAATTCAGTGTCAATCACCTGAATGCAATGCCATCAGCTCCAGTTTACGTATCTGGAATCAAGCTGCAGTGTAAAACAGTTGTTTGAGCTCGTTAGAGGACTATTACAGTTTAATTAAATGAAGGTATTTTTTTCAAGCTAGGTCTCTTGGGCAGCACTGCCACCCAACAACACGGGAGCTGACAGTCTGAGTAATGGTTGCATCTATCAGCCAGAACTCCAAGAAGAAAGCACCGGTGTGAGGATTGGGAGATTTGAATTCTCTTTCCAGGCTCTCCACAAGCTTCTCCTGTGACTCATAACCTGCCAGGAGCTTGATGCCAGATGACCTCTTCCCACTGCAACTTTTTTAACCTAAACATGTTAGAGCTGCTGGTTCTTCTCCACACCCAGTGGTGGAAATGAGCCGAAGGAGGAGGTTACAGCCCAGTCAGATCTGATGCTGTCCTTCCAGCTGTACCTGTTTCCTGTCCTGTTTATATTTTCAGAATGAGGTGGTGAGCAGGTGGGCACAGTATCTTTTTAACCCTGACCAGCTGTAGCAGTTTGTGACTATACCCTTAAACCAGTGATGAATGCAGGTAATGCAAAAATGGGTCACCAAAAAATGAGTAAATAGGAAACCACAAATAAGTACAGTGCCATAAATTCTTCTGTGGGAAAACTTTGGAAAAAGAGCAACAGTTTTCCTCATTTCCAAATAAGCTACTGTC